CACCTTTACAACAAACAAAAAACTGTGTCTTTGCTTTATCTTTATAACAAACTGAAACTCTAAGGCAACGATTGACTTCCCCAAGTTCCCCGACTAGAAAGTGGAGTTAATATGAGGTTATTATTGATGAGCCATCAGTTTATCATCTGAGGCAGACTGTGGTCTCTGAGTGGTAGGATGATCCACTAAAAGAACAAAAAAAAAAAACAACAAAAAACAAACAAACAAAGTAAACAAAAGGCTTATCCAACGACTGTTTGCCTGAAGCTGGCATCTGAGAAGAGCTTTTCCATGAGCAGGGAGCACCTGAAATTACCAAGTATAAATATGATGGGTAGAAATATGAAAGAAGCTTGAAAAATCCATGATTCCAGTGGTTGCTTCTTACAGCTTTTGTAAGAGGAACGAGGACCTGGTTTCTTCTTTAACATGCAGAACTCTTCAAAATGATAACAAGTGTACTTCTCCAGGATTCATGCCTTGTTTGGATTTCTTCCCTTCTACTGTGACTTTCCTGTCCACTCCATATTTCAAGGTGTCCATACAGATTTTATCAAGTTCTCTTTCTTCTATTTTAAGACCTCTGGGATTTGCATAGAGTCTTCAAAGTCTTTTCCAATTCAAAATTGAAAAATATTAATTGAAATATTATGTGACATGAATTTTGTTAAGTCTTGGGGTTATAGGGCTGAGCCAAACAGACAGAATTCCTGGTCTCAGTAAGCTGACATAAGGCCATAAACTTCCCTGTCCTCCACTATTGGATTCTGCAAATGGTATTATTTTTTTTCTTGGTTTTCCACTTGTCCAAATGTTTTAACCACTTTGTGACCTTACCTATTTGTGGTTTTCTCATGTATCTCTGATGTGCGCAAATTTTTGAAGCTAACATTATGTTGGTCTGAAATCATATGCTATTTTAAGGAAGATTATTTAGATGATATTTCCAACTGCCTTCAGGCTGTTTCCATTTTTATGTGGGCTGTTGCTTCTTCTTTATTTTCTTAATTTAATTAAGGTTCATGAGGGGCATCATGAAATAGGTTAGATGTATATTTTTTCAGTCTAGTCTATATATATTATGTATGTATATATGTATATATATGTATATTTGAATTTTAATGTAGTATGTCTAAGCCTCAGTTTCTCAGGTATTATATATATCAGCATATAAGGTGGTTGTGAAGATTAAAATGTGTGTATAGTATATATATATGCATAGATGTACATTATGCCTTTAAATGCAAAAATATTTATTTAAAACCATGATTGCCATGTACTGGGTACTGAATGAGTATTAACCCTCACATCTTTTCCTAGTCAATTATTCTTATGAAATATGAACTTTGGGTTTTCTCCTTCGTCCCAGAACCATAAGTCGTATAGAATCCTTACCTGAGTCTCCTGTTGCTGCTTCTCTTGAGTCCTTCTCCTGTAATTCTTCAAAGGTGCCACTTTCACCACATTCCTCCCCTTCTTCGGTGTACACTGCAAATGCTTACTGCTTCTGGCACTACTCTGGTGTTTTCTGGGCTTCACCTCATTCACCCTTGACAAAACTATGTGTCATCTCACTTGCAAAATCTGTTCCCCCTGCTGATACTCGCTGCTTCTTTCGCTCAATGCACCAAGCTCAGTTTTAGCTCAGTCTGTGCTCATATTGTAGTAGGATTTTAGGTTGTGATTCAACCTTAATTTTGAAAGAAAATGTTTAAAGTTTACTTATATCAACATATGCTTAATATAAGGTCTCTTTGATTTTAAGCTACAGAAATCAAACTAGCTTAGGCCAAAAAAAGTACATTATTTTTTCATGGACTCCATGTACAATTTGTGCAACTAAGCTGTGGAAGGACAGGGAGTTAGCAGCGTCATTGGAGCAGTGGAGCCAGAGACCAGGCATGCCTCCCGGCGCACTCCATCTCTCATCACTGCTGCATTCGGCCTCTGGTTTCACACCAGCTCCCCGCGGGCGTGTTCTTCCACATCTTTGGCTTTTAGCCCATGGCTCCTCTAAGGAGGTGGGGCTAACTTTCTTTCAGGGATTCTGGATGCTTTAGTTAAAGTCAGGTGCCCACTCCAGGCCTATAACTCTGTCCGAGCAGGATGGTCGTGTGGAAGTATGGAATGTCCTACTGCAGTCATGTGTGAGTGTGTGTGTGTTTGTGTGTGTATGCTGAAGTATGGCTGGAAGCAGGTGAAGAGAGGAAAGAATGCTAGATGTCAATACCGTGGTTGTATTATTATTATTATTAACACCAGCTCTGTATGCCTGGGGATCGAACTGCTACGCTCTTTTGGGTTTGTCTCCATGAAAGGTAATACCATCTTTATATAACATCACCTCTAATATTAATGAGAGAGATGTTATACTGATCTTGATAGCCCACTCGCATGCCTAAAACATAGAGTTTATTATGCTTTTATAATTCTACTTGCGAGGGCAAGTGAGCTTAGGAATATAATTAAATATTATTTATCTTTAAGATGTAGCCATCAAACAGTTATATATTATTCATCATACTGTCACACCATTTAAACTCAATGTTTTACCTGTTTTGAACATGTACTTGTTCTCCAACAAGGTAACATGTGAAATCATATTCTGTATTCACCACCAATTATCCCTAGGCCACTGCTGAACACCAGATAGCCTACATAATACTCCCTGACAGTATTTTAACAACAACTAGCTCAGCCTTGATTTTAGATGGTGCCTTTTGGTACATTGAATATTACAAAAAACAAGAATGGTGGATATAGAACCAATCAAAATTTATTCTCAAAAGTAGAATCACATTCATTAGGTAAAGAAAGTTGTTTCCACTCATGCAATTGAAGTTCTATTTGGCTTTGCAATACTGTTTTTATATTGATAAGACCCTTGACATTTAAGAAAATCTTTTATTAAGTTTGTATCTGTCCAAATTAAAAAGAAAACAAAAGAAATGCAGCCATCTAATTCTGACTTTCGGTTTCTGAATCCCTGGGGGTTTCTATACCTCTAAGTTTAATAACTGAAATGAAACATTGGTATTTAGCAGTGGGAATCCTCTATGATTTTGGCTACTGTAGTAAATAAGCTGCTGACCCAGCATGAGAGCTTGAAAAGGATGAAAAAGATCCTCTCTGAGCTAAGACACCCTCTCCTACTGCTTTGCCTTACATATGTCTGTGTGGGGCTAAACATCTGGTAGACCACTTATTATTTGTGAATGAGGGCAATTATCCATGGCACAGGTGTGTTAGCCTCTGAAAGATCTTATTTCATTCTAATATAGACATGACTGCAAATAATTTATGAGGTGCACTTATTTTATAGTCATTTTTCCCATGGAGAATAATTGCTAAGCTGCTTTTTTTTCACTTTTTTTTCTTTCTTCCTTTTTTAAATGAAGGGTTTGGGCTGTGACATCTTTTAGCTAGGATGATAACTGTAGTGTATTTGATGAACATGCAAATGCTAAATAAGATATTGGTCCTTTCTTGTAAACCGTAGAGGAGATGCTGTAGTTTCCCAAATAATAGATTTCAAGACCACCAGTACTATTTATAGTCCACAGGTTCTTGGTCGCAGCTCTTCATACTGTTAGTGTTTGGCCATTTTGTCTTTTTTAATGTCAGCCCTGGATGTAGAAGTCTAGTAGTGCTCAGAATTATACTCATTCACTTATTTTTTAAAGTGTACATATTGTTAGCTTCCCTCTTGACCTGCGCTTTTCTTTTGGGCGTAGTTTGATTCTGTGAACACTTCCTTGAAAGCTGAGAAACATCTATTTCTTCAAAAATCAAAAAATGATCATTTGCATTTTACATGTTTGCAAATAATTAATATAGTTCATTAACAGACATGGAAGGACTTTGGACTCATTCCCTATTAGGAGGCATTCTTTTTAAAGTTCCTTCTGAGTTATTTGAAATTAAAATAATGGATTATTTTCTCTCTACAGAGGCTTGTTGTTCTAGATAGAGTATCTCCAATAGATATTTTTATATTTAGATATTTATAATATAAAAGGAAACAGAAATTATAGGTCAAAATCAGTGCTTAGTAGCCAGATTATTTTGAACAAATCACTTAACCTCTATATTCAGCAAACTGGTTAAGCATATGGATTCTGGAAACACAGACTTGGGTTTGAGTTCTGGTTTTGTACCATCATTCACTGTGTGACCTCTTTTAAACTTCAGTTTCCTAAGTATAAAACGGGGGTAAATATGTTTTACCCTTAAACATAAGATAAAAACTTGTAACATACTTAGCACAGTGCTTCACAGAGGAAAGCATTAAATTATTACTGTAATTATTTTAACTGCTGAGTACAGTTAAATGGAATCTGAAAAAAAATGAAATGAAAATAATAACACCTGCCCTGCCTATCTCAGGGGTCATTATAAGTATCAAATGGTGACATATATACAAAGCACTACACACATATAAGCAACTATTTTTATATTTTGTAAACTATAACTACCCTGTGTAAAAGAGTATCAATATTAATTAAGTAATCCAGTGGCTCTCAGCTTGAGTTGGGCATCATATTTGCCAGGGAGACTTCTTAAAAATTCAGAGTCCTCTTTAGACCCCTGTATTCAGGAAACAGGGGAGTTGGGGGTAAAAGAGGCTGGGGGGTTGCATTTTAAAAAGATTCTAATCAGATGATTTTGATTATGGCAACCACTGATCTGGTTCAATCTAGCTATTGTTTTTGCAAAGGAGGAATTTTGAACCAAGAGAAGGGAACTGATTTCTTTAAAGGTATGCTGCCCAACTAAAATGGTTAGGAAAATGCACAGCACAGAGTATTTAGGAAGATGATTGAAGAGATTTTGCACTTGACTGAAGGCCAGAGCCCCTAACAGATAATGAGTAAATCTCCATAGCTGAACTTTTTTTTCCTCACTCAGATCCCCCAGCCATTTGCTCTCACACAGCATGTGACAGCATTGCCGGAATAGGTAGGAGCTCAAGCATAGTGAAAAAGAAATTAATGCCTCACCTGCTGGAAACAAATGCAAGAAATGGTGAGACTCTTGTGTCTTCTTATGTAAGCTGTGCTCGTATGAGTTGGAGTTTTGAGTGCAAACCTAAATATTAGTTATCTTTCTCCCATTAATTATTGTCACGCAGATTTAAAGGGTCAGAGACTTGGAAGTTAATGCCTCATTCAGTGTGGGAAAAATAACACTATGCACTTTGGCTGCTGTTTTTCTTTCTGGCTGACTGCAGACCAATTGTTTCTGCCCCATCTCAGCTGGCTGGCAAAATGCTAGTTTGCACAGGACAGCACTTTTTTTGTTGGGAAGGGGCAGCATCAAATTCACTCTTGGTTTCAGGTGAGACAGTGGATCTCACAACTCAGACCCAGTGTATCCATCATGTTTTATGCCTGTTTTTTTTTCTTTTTCTCTGCATGAAAGACATCGTTGTATGTTCCTCACTATGACCATTCTGAATTTCTCTTGTGGCAATTTTCTTTCCTCCATCTTAACTAAAGAAAGCCCTAAGTTATTTTTTGTTGTTGTTTGTTTTTCGTATTGTTTTGTTTTGAGCAAGTGATGAAGCATGGAGTTGAGAGTTAAAAAAAGAAACCTGAGTTCTAGTCTTAGCTCACTGTGAGGCTTGAGCCTGTGGATTAAGCTTTCAGAGTCTCAAATTCATCATACAATAATAATAATAATAATAAAAATAGCTCCTTAGCTTATCACATAGATTAAATTTTGAAGGTGAAATGGTAAAACAAGGAATCATGATTTGTTGTAATACAAAAATCCATGGTCAATCTTGATTACCCCCTTTGTTGACTGCTATTTTCAATGGGAATTGAATTCTCTTATTGAACTCCGAGGGGAAAGGATACTTCTTCTATGGAACCTTTACTAAAAATCATGTCCAAAGTAAAGAATACACATGAAGGAAAGTGTTGAGGGCCCAGTTCTTAACAGGCGGTGAGATCTTACGCAGATACCACCAAGCACGTGGACAGATCAGCAGGAAAGCATCATCTGGCAGTCAGACGGAAGGAGCCGCGGCTGTATATGCTCACCTGGCAGTGGACAGGTGGAGAGGCAGCAGGAGAGCAGCACCATTGTCTCCAAAGCTTGACGTTAATAACATTCCTATGGAAATGTTGCAGTTTTTGCAGCACACTCACGGAAGGAAACTGTCAAATTCTATTGGATGTTCACTTACACTTTACTTAAGAATAAAACAAACAAGATAAACCACCAAACAGTTTTTTCTCAGCAATACCCTGAAAAAAACGGAAATAATATTAAATTTATTAGGGTGGCCAAATCTTGAGAATTCTGTAAGGTTTTGAGGGTATAGCCCTCTCTTTTGCAGTAAGCAAAATTTTTGCTGAAAAAATACTGGCCAGTGTACAGCCAGTTTCTTTCTTGAAATGCAGCTCTTAGTTGCAGACAGGAGTTTAATTCCCTCTGGAAGCACTGGAGGGTGTTGCTTCTGGCAAAGGGCTTTTACTTCTTCACCCATTGAGGAACAGCCATGAACAGAATGACAGAATAATTCACGCAGGTGATGCAACTTGGCTTGCCCCTACACTCTTTGGTTCTTACATCTTTTCCATAGAGGAAAGGTGGATTCTCTTGAAGGTGTGAAGGTTGGCTGGGTACATATTTAATAACAGTTATTAATGAATACTGTTTCTGTTGCCTGCTTCCAAATACACTCATTGTCTTCTGGCTTCTATCCAAATACTCACAACTTGCTAGTGAATGACAAGTCTTTAGCAGGTAGTCTCAGGTTGGCTTTGTAGTCAGTGACATCACCAAAGATGTGGAATCCTTCATTCTTCCTGCTTTGTCATACTCAGTAAACTGGCAGCATCTTCCTTCATAATCTCAAGATGAAGTGTTGCAGCTCTGAGCATCATTGTAAAGCAGGAAACGGCTGGGGAAGAGAGGCCTGCCTCTCCTTCAGTGTCTCTTATCAAGGAAGAAAGACAATTGTTCCTAGAAGGCTCCCAAGGCTATGTTGACTTAAATCTCATTGGCCAGGATGGGGTTGCATGCCTTTCTCACCTGTTACTGGCAAAGGGAAATGGGGTTCTCACGATTGAGTTACATGGTCCTATTCATCTGGGGCTGGGCAAATTCTCTCTCCCACAACAAAATTAGCATTTTGTTCAAAAGGAGGAAATAGGCAATAGCTATAATCACTTTTTACCATATTCCCTGAATTCATTTATTGTACTGTTTAGTTGACTCTAAGCATCTGTCATAGTACTTGGTCCATAAAACAGCCTTAAAAAATAGTGGATGGTCTATGCCTCCAGAGAGCCAGTCAATAACAAAGAGTTGAATCCAATAGTAGGTTGTATTTACTGAGCAACTAACATTTCCAGGTAAGTAATACATATTGTTCATAATTGCTACAGCTACACTATAAGGTGGATTTTAAGATCTCCATTTTATGTATTGAGAAACTAAGACAAAGAGGGCTTGGTAACTTGGCCAATGTAACAAACCTAGAAAGTGACAAGTTTTTCTGGTTCCCAAATCCAGTCTTCTTCTGTGATACCATAATGACTCTCTATGTTGCAGCAGTTTTTGACTCTTCCTGACTCGCCTGATAAAATAATTTTATTTAGTGTACTCCAAGCCTAGAAATCTTGGGTGGAAATTGAAGTCTTTAGTTTTTATCTTCTCTAAGCGCCCATATCTGTAAATGAATCACATGAAAGGGAAGGTTGCAGAGAAAAGTGAAATATAGGTAATGCATCAATTTCTAATGAGGAATTTTCTTACTGAATTTCTGGCCTGTGCAATTTAGCTGCCTAGCAGCTAAATTTGAGACTATGAAAAACAATCTACTTAACTTAGAAGAGAGAATATATAGAATAAGATTTCTTATTTCTGGTCAATAGAGACAGGTAATTTGGATTTGGTAATTTGGGGCTTCATGAGAAAATTACAACAGTTTTTATCTAGACCACTGCAAGGACTGTGTAACTGGTACCCTACACCCACTTGGGTCTTTTTCCACATGGCAGCCTGAATGACTTTCAAAAGTAAATCTTTTGTTGATGTTTTGCCTGAGGGTTTCAGCCCTGGGCAAGTTCACCCTGGAGTCCATTAGACTGAAAAACAAAATGTCAGGGGTAAAGAGGGCTTCGTACTGAGCTTTACTCTCAGGACGGTAGGTTGAGCACTGGAATCCTGCTCACCTCTGTCTCTGCCCTCACTCAGCCTCTGCCCCAGGCTCTGACCTCACCTTCAGCCTCTGCTCACCTCTCTCCTGCCCTCTTACTCTCCTGCCCTCTTACTCTCTTCTCTAGGCTCTGCTCTTAGTACCAGGAACTCTTTATAGCAATACCTAAAGTATTGGCTTATTGCCAATGGGGTTATAAGCATGCGCCTGTGCTGTAGGCTAAGTATTACATAATCACACTTATACAATGGGTAGATTTGATTAGGATCAGGTGAGCATCCTGGCCATGGAGCTTCCATTTTCCCTACAGTTAATCATCAACTTCAAATTTTCAATGGCTTGTTATTGTACTTAGACTTAAGACTAGTGTGACTTTAATGCTCTGATGCTCCTCTAGAGCTGGCTTCTGCTCCTTCATCCTCACCTTGTACCACTCTCTTCCTTACTCTCTGCCTTCCAGGCACTTTGGTGTCATTCGTCTCCCCACACTCATCAAACTTCCTCCTATGAAAGAGATTTCACACACTAATACCTACTAGAAAGCTCATCCTTGATGCCAGATTAATTTATATTCAGCCTTCAGGGCTCATGTATAAATTCCTTGTAAGTCCCCTGCCCCATACATGACTATTGGTTTAATGTCTGCTGCTCCTTTCAAGGCGGTAAGGACTAGTGCTCAGGAGCATGGATGATGGGGCCAAATGACCTCTGTTCAAAGGTCAGTTCTAACACATATCTAGCTTTGTGACATTGTTACTTCCCACGCCTCTTTGTCCTTAACTGTAAAATAAGGAATGCAATAATATCTACATCTAATAGGGTTGTGAGGATTTAATAGGTTAGTACATACGTAAAGTGCTTAGAACAGTGCCTGACACACTGTAAGGACTATTTAACATGATTAGCTCTGTGAGAACTAGCTTTTTTCTCAGGATGGTAGGCTGAGCACTGGAATCCCGTTCACCTCTGTCTCTGCCCTCACTCAGCCTTTGTCCCAGGTTCTTAGAGCAGTGCCCAATACACTGTAAGGACTATTTAACATGATTAGCTCTATGAGAGCAGGGACCACATCTAATGTAGCTTCACCATAACCTCACCAGAGAGCATAGTGCCCGCATACAGTAAACACACAGCCAACATTTGTTACATGAATGGATCAAGACAGGAACAACTATTTTGATGCAAATGTCACTTGGGGTTTTCACAATTATACAGCCTTTCCATAGGACACAGTAAGGAAGGCATGGCTGGCTTTTATAGCCTGGCAATGCTAGACCATAATATCAATCCAGGCTATTTGAAAAGTTAATTAAATATTTAAGTATTGCCTTGATCTTGAAAGACATTGGTGCCTGAGTCAGGATAGGCTCCCAGCCTTGCAGACAGAGTCATCTCTAAACTCCTTTATAACTCTAAAATAGGTCCCAATTTATTTCTCTGTATTTTGATGGACTTGAGAATCTCTTCATTTTCTCTTGTCGGAGAGCCCCTACATTTGTACTGATTGGTTGGCCTTCAGAAATGTACTGAATTTCCTGGCAGGACTGTTGATGAAGGTAGACATTTTCATAGTTATCGTTCATTTTAGCTTTCGCCTCATTCCTGCCCTCCATAGTTTGTGTAGTTTTTGCCCAAAGACTCTTTGAACTCTGCACAAGAGAGGCATACCAACAACCTCAGTGACTTGTCCTTGGAAGGTGGGAGGGATTGGGCTGTGGGTACATTTGTTGGTTGCTCATTCATTCCTTTAATTCATTAATTTCATCTGTATGGCGAGTAAGACTCCTGAGCTGAGGGTCGTGCAGACCATTATAACAGCTGAGATAGGAAAGACTGTTGCGTGAACCTTGCCAGGAAAAGACTCAGGGAGCAGGTGGTGGGGT